CGTTAGCGATAAATCAAGTCATAGGTATAACTCTAACGTTAGTGGGAATTATTTTATACGCCCACGTCAAAGTAAGTCCAGCTTTTGTACGTCTCATCATCTTCATACCTTGTATTCAATAGAATATTCCCTTCTAGATGAAAGACAACCAGACGATAATACCAGAATTTGAAGATGGAGAAACAAAGCCTCTATATAAAGTATGATTCCATTTTAGGCTAAGATAGGATTCAAAGGAATTGAAAAAAGAAAATACAAATCGTAGTACTTAATGATGTATAAATTTTGTAAGTCACTGAAATGTACACTGCAATAAACATTTATTTATTATTCCTGAACTGTTTAAATGGTTCCTCATTGTAAAACGAGTTGTATAATGATCTTGAAGAACGATTATTGTATAACTTAAATGTATAAATCAAATAAGTATAAAAAATACTTATAGAAGCGGCACTAGAAGATTGTATGTATACATAAATTTATTTTCACAGAAAAAAGTGAGTTTTATTGACTATATCTCTTTACAATCCTGTATAATAATTCTTATTGATTTTGATTATATTTCATATTTTATGCAATTATAGATGTACAAGGAAATTATGTATACGCATAATCTACTAATGTTGGTGGTTCTTTTAAGTATTTTTTATTTTTTTAATTTATACTTTTTCAATCTAAAAATTCACATTAATTTTGTAATTATACGTAATTAAATAAGTATATAATTATATATATTTATTATGTAATTTACATTACAATAATTACAATTAAATATAATTAAACCTTCAGCATAAATAAGAAAAGTTAAAGCTCAATTCAAGCTAAATTTTCAAATGTCAATAAGTTATAATTGTTTTATTTTTATATTCTTTTTTATTTTCTGAAATAGATTAAAAGAGATCGTTATACAATTAAAATTAATATCAAATTCGAAAAATTAAATCGACGCGACAGCGTGAGTACAATGCATAATGAAAATTTAACGAAAAAAAAATTTACGAGAAAATAGTATCTCGAAGCAAAATGGGTCAACGTCACACCTTGGGCTGAGATAGTTGAACTTGTATTGAAATCAGCGGCAACTTCAAATTAAGATTACGATTTATCGTTAGCTTTTTCCCAGGTGTACCGGACCCAACGGGTGCTCTCCTAGAATGCCTTTATATATAAAATCGGTCCGCTCGTGGCACTCTCGAGAAATTGTCGTCTCATGAGACATCTAGCCATTGAAAAATGTATCAATTACTAAACGCGGACTTTTCGACAAGCAGCTTGCATTTTATTTCCTACAGACGTACTATTTTCTCTCATCAACAATTCAGGAGACATATCTCTTATTTTTGAGTTTATCTTCTAATTTTATCGCAAATGATGAAATATATCTACACAATATCGCTGAGTGGATCAATAAACGAGCTTGAGCTTCTGTGGCGCGCAAGCTGCGCACGTTCAATTTTCGCTGATGGCGTTGCTGTAATAACGCAATTGGTAGAGAGGGAGATTACTCCGTTACTGATCAAACAGACCTCTAGCAACGTGCTCGCCCGGCCGGTCTACACTTTACGTTGATCTATTTTTGCAAAAGGGTAACAACGATGAAGATCGAGGAGGTGAAGAGCACCGCCAAGACCCAGAGGATTTCAGCCCATACACATATCAAAGGACTTGGACTCGATGAGAATGGTTCTGCCATCCAGAGCGCGGCCGGTCTCGTCGGTCAAGAAATGGCGCGTGAGGTTAGCATTTTCTTGAGAGCAGTGGCAACTGCATTGTTTTCCAGTAAATGCACGACATATTACGTGTCACGCGATACTAGAAGATAGATTAGAATGATGAAAACTTTCAAAGGCTTTCTATCATCAAAGAGAAAGCATATGATTTTCTTGTCTCGCTAGAAAATTCATAATATTTCTCTTTATCATCAAAGAATGACACAAAGAAAGATATCACGATTCTGTTTCTAGTTTAGCTATTTATGTTAATGTGTGTATAATTTAATTTTAAATTTAATTTGTTCCCGAATGGGTTACTATTTAGTTCCTTTAATCACATTAAAATTCACCAATCAATCTCATAAATTAAGACATAGCATCACAGTAGAAAAAAAAACCATAAGAGTAAATATAAAAATCATAAAAATCTGTGTACTTACATCATGCATCAGATGACATTCAAATTGCAAGAGTTTCAAGTCAATGATTTTTTCACAGATTTAGTTTTTTATTTTTTATTTATTGTACATTAATGATTTGATGGATAATGAGAAGCATAAGCACAATGTTGCTCTTACAGGCAGCAGGTATCGTCGTCGACATGATAAAGTCCAAGAGAATGGCAGGACGTGCAGTGTTATTGGCTGGTCCACCAGGTACAGGCAAGACTGCGATAGCACTTGCCATTGCTCAAGAACTTGGTAACAAAGTACCTTTTTGTCCTATGGTGGGTTCAGAAGTTTATAGCTCAGAGATTAAGAAAACAGAGGTTCTCATGGAGAATTTTAGGAGGGCCATTGGCTTAAGGATTAAAGAAACTAAAGAGGTATATGAAGGTGAAGTGACCGAGTTGTCGCCTGTTGAAACAGAGAATCCTATGGGCGGCTATGGTAAAACTGTATCTCACGTAGTCCTCGGATTGAAAACTTCTAAAGGCACAAAACAATTAAAACTGGATCCTTCGATATATGAATCTTTACAAAAAGAGAAAGTCGAAACTGGCGATGTAATTTACATTGAAGCTAATAGCGGGGCGGTAAAGAGGCAAGGTCGAAGCGATAATTTTGCCACGGAATTCGATTTGGAAGCGGAGGAATATGTTCCTTTACCGAAAGGCGATGTACATAAAAAAAAGGAAGTTATTCAAGATGTAACGTTGCATGATTTGGATGTAGCTAATGCCAAGCCACAAGGAGGACAGGACATAATGTCAATGATGGGACAATTGATGAAGCCTAAGAAAACTGAAATTACAGGTAAAAGAGAAAATTAGCGGTACATTATTTATACAGGATAATTCATAATATCAATTTTCAACAAAAGAAAACTTAAAGTGAGAAAAAATGTACAGGTTGTTTATTGAATTATAAGTGAAAAATAATGAAAATGCACTACATTTTGCTTGCATTACATTTGAGTAACGGAATGGAAAGAAGCATATTAATATTTTTAGTATTATTTATAACTTATACTTTTCTTAAATTCAGTCATATTAAAGATATGTGCAATTATAATTAGGAATATATCTAATCAGGTCAAAATTATTTCAGATAAGTTGCGGAAAGAGATAAACAAGGTAGTAAACAAATATATCGATCAAGGCATCGCTGAATTAGTACCAGGAGTATTGTTCATAGATGAGGTTCATATGCTAGACATAGAGACGTTTACTTATCTACACCGCGCGTTGGAAAGCGCTATAGCGCCGATCGTTATTTTTGCTACGAATCGTGGCCGCTGCGAGATCAGAGGAACTGAAGATATTATTTCTCCACACGGCATACCTCTCGACCTGTTGGACCGTCTTCTGATTATAAGAACTCTTCCATATTCTAGACAAGAAATCGAACAAATAGTAAAACTGAGAGCTGTTACGGAAGGACTGCAAATTGATGATGAGGCTCTATCCAGTCTCGGCGAACTCGGCACGAAAACTACTCTTAGATATGTAGTACAACTTTTAACACCCGCAGCTTTAGCGGCGAAAGTCAATGAAAGAACTAGTATTAAAAAGGAGGATATTGAGGAAGTTAATGCGCTTTTCTTGGATGCTAAATCATCCGCTAAGATACTCTCGCAAAATCAAGATAAATTTATGAAATAAAACTTAATTTTATGATAGATATAATATATTTATAATTATTTTCCTGAAATCCGTTTATTAAACAGTAATTTAATTATTAGATTTTATCAATTTTATTTTAACTTTCTCAACTCTGACAGTTACTCTTTTAATTAGAATTAATAAAAATCATGTTTTTAAAAAATGTATATACAGTGTTAATAAAAAATTACATTACCATTATAGGGAAATAGTTTTATATATATTAGAATACATGTTTTTCTCATAGAATTAAATTATTTTAATATGAATGTTACATAACATTTCATAAATAAAAATTTCTCATGAAACAATATGTTTATGTGTCTTTTATTGTCATTTTTTAATATACTTTGAATTTTGAACTAAATTAATGAGTTCATAATTAATAGTAAAATCAATAAGGAATAAAAAGCCTTGAGAATCGATGCTGAATGTTATTGCAATTACATTTTATTGTATATAATAATTGAAATAGACGTTTCGATCTTTTTGGTTTGGATCCTCTTTAGTAAATACATTAATGATAAGACTAAAATATATATAATAATTAAACATGGATGCGAATTGACTTATCCAGATACACATTATTCACATTCAAATTACGACGAACAAATATGTAAGTTCACACAATCTAATATTCAATTTTGTATTTAACGATAATTATTGTATATATTTTAGTAACTACTTATCATTAATATATTTACTGAAGGGGATCCAAACCAAGGATCGAAATGTTTACTTCAATTATTATATATAATAAAACATAATTGCAATAACATTCAGCATCGGCTCTCAAGGCTTTTTATTCCTTATTGATTTAATTTGTTAAAGCTTATAAAATTTTATAGCAAAATATAAATATAAGAGATATTTTGTGTTATACAGGATCTCTTGTATATTGCACAATATTTACACAATAAAAATAACAATAATATTTGTTTTTGCTTCGTAAGCTACCGTTAGATGTCCTAAATTAAACGTTAAACTTCTTAACATCACGAGATCTTAACATCACGATGAAAATAATTTCTCAATATTGTTTTAGATATTGAACGACTCAGAGTTCAAAAGCTGAAGAGTTCAGCTGTAATCAGAAGTTGTGACATCACTGTGCGATATCTACACTCTAAGTATAAAATCTCCGTCAATTTTAATACTCGTTAGTTTTAAGATCCTCGAATGACCGTACTGTTAAATATCGAGCACTACATTTCAATCTGTTTCTAATACATTTCTGTATGTATTTCTTAAAAGTTAAGATGCAGTACACTTTAAAAATGACAAAGTGCTCTAAGTTTTTAAATAAGTATAATATTGTGACTCAACATAAACGTAGTTTGCAACTAAGTAGTTCGCAAAGACAGAATATGAGTAAATTGCTTCCACAAAAGGAAGAATTTCAAGCGAGACACATTGGACCCAGAGAACACGAACAAATAGAGATGTTAAGACTAATTGGATTTAAGGTAATTTACTTCTGAAAATCATTTATATAATGAAAACTTGTATCTCTCTCGCTACTGGATTAATTTTTATTCGCGATACAATATTGCAGAGTCTTGATGAATTAACGGAAACCGCAGTACCAGCTAAAATTCTTCACAAGGGAAATTTAAATCTCGATGAGCCAGTTAGTGAGTAATTTTTTCAGTTAACGTACATGATACTTAGATTTTATCATCACGTGATTGTGCTAATTTGGAGTAAATTGTTGTTAGGCTTTTGTTCCATTGTCTGCGAAATTACACAGGTTTCTTTCTTAAGAATACGTACATATAAATAGCAAAAATGTATATTTTTTTGTAAGATACGTGATACTGCGATGGTTCATTCCGTGAAAACGTGACAAGTCACGAGACTTATACGATTCGACTTGCCCTAATACTGATAACCCTTTACGCAAATCATTATCTCAGGTCACAGTTCAATCTCGTGCGTCTATTTTGCTCTCACGTGTTGTTCTTCTCAAATAGACTTAATCGCATACCATTACATAGATTTCTATATATAATTTCTTTTCCCGAGATCGTGTGTGTGCTACTAAATATGCTACTGCATATTTTCTTCATTACATTTTCGTATTTTCGTTCCAATAATATTACATCAAATATATATAATAATTAGAATTTTCCTTTTTTATTTTCTTGTACGTGAATAAAATTCCATTCTACATATAATTAAAAATTTAAATGGTATAAAGTAAAGTAAAAATTAATACAAATAATTTTTTCAGCTGAGTACGATTTGATAAAGAGGATCACAAAACTTTCGGAAATGAATGACGTATGGCGTTCTTACATAGGCATGGGGTACCATAATTGTTGCGTACCACATACGATTATGCGTAACATTTTTGAAAATCCTGGATGGTAATCGTATGCTAAAAAATATTAAGAAATATGAGATACATAAGAGGTCATATAAAAACAATTTCATTGTATTTCGCCACAGGACAACGCAATATACTCCTTATCAACCAGAGATTTCACAAGGACGGCTCGAAGGTTTACTGAATTATCAAACCATGATATGTGATTTTACGGGGATGGATGTGGCGAATGCTTCCCTCTTGGATGAAGGGACAGCGGCAGCGGAGGCTTTGGCACTTGCGCATAGATATAATAAGAGAAAAAAGTTGTTTGTCTCCGACCAAGTACATCCTCAGACAATTAGTGTTATCGCAACACGCGCCGCTTCCTTAAGTTTGCCCTTAGTAATTGGTGATGTATTTAAAGTAGACACTAGCGGAAAAGATATTGCCAGTATTCTTGTACAGTATCCCGATACAAATGGCTGCATCCACGATTTTGAAGATGTTGTTAAAAGGGCGCACATTAATGGGGTATGTTGTTAAAAATTATAATATATATACTATGCCAATAAAGATATTTCTTATAAATAATTCTAATACAAAAAAGAAAAGTTTTGTAACGTTTTTATAACGTTTATTAACACACAGTGAGTGTAAAAAGTATTCAGGAGAAATTTTTGTAAAAAAATCTTATTTGTAGAAAATAAATATTTGCAATGAATATGTTCTGTCCTATGTCTTAATAAACAAAAGAGCTTCACGGATTCCTGACCTTAGAAGCTAAATTTTTCGATTGTACGAATATTTTTTATGAGTCCAAATGATGCAATTTTTCATTTTCTTAATTATTTTTAAGATAATATATTTTAATATATTATTAATTATTACACACACATCTTTATAGATAATTTTGAGAAATATACAATCTATTCTTTGTTAATAAAGTGCTAATTAATATTTACTTTTTAAAAATGATATGCATACGAATACATTTTGTATTCATTGTATATTAAAAATGACATCTTACAATAATAATATATTTTCTTAAAGACACTCGTCTGCGCTGCTACCGACTTACTAGCGTTAGCTCTGCTTCAACCACCGAGTGATTTCGATGTCGACATATGCGTGGGTACGAGCCAGCGTTTTGGAATTCCTCTTGGATATGGTGGACCTCACGCTGGATTCTTTGCGTGCCGACAGCAATTAGTGCGCTTAATGCCTGGCAGAATGATAGGTGTTACGAGAGATTCTAATGGAGAGGACGCTTATCGTTTAGCCCTTCAAACACGCGAGCAACACATCAGAAGAGATAAAGCCACCAGCAATATTTGTACCGCACAAGCGTTACTCGCTAATATGTCCGCAATGTATGCGGTATATCATGGACCTCAGGGAATACGAGACATTGCGAGTAGAGTGCACAATTTGACGCTAGCTTTGGCGAAGGGTTTGGAGGTTGTTGGAAACGCAATAAATAATATATATTTCTTCGATACTATTACAGTGTCGCCAAAGATTTCTGTACAAGTGATAAAGGAAAATGCGAATAAGGCTAAAATAAACTTAAGGTATTTCCCTAAATAGACAGCAATAGTTATGATGTTATCAATAAAATTATGAACGAAAATTTACAGATATTTTAACAACGGTACGATTGGAATAGCTCTTGATGAGACGACGACAGCAGAGGACGTGAATGATCTTTTTAAGATATTTGCAGCGAATATTACAGTTGAAGAAGTGGTCAAAGATGAAAGCTTCCTCGCGAGAAGTTTGGACAAGTCAGATTTCCATCGTACTATTTCGTACTTACAGCACCCTGTCTTCAATAGCTATCATTCGGAGACAAGAATAGTTAGATACATGAAGTCTTTGGAAAACAAGGATGTATCCCTCGTACATAGTATGATTCCACTGGTGATTATTTTCTTTAGTATTATATTTTTATACATACGTTTGCTTCTTTGTTAATATTAACGTTTATTAGGGTTCTTGCACAATGAAGTTGAATTCAACAACAGAGATGATGCCTTGCAGTTTGAAAGGTTTCACAGACATACATCCTTTCGCTCCGCTCGAGCAGACTGAGGGATACCAACAATTATTTGCCGAGCTGGAACGAGATCTGTGCGCAATCACCGGCTACGATGGTATTAGTTTCCAACCAAATAGTGGAGCACAAGGTGAATACGCGGGTTTGAGAGCTATACAATGTTATCATGAGTCAAGGGGAGACAAACATCGACAAGTCTGTTTGATTCCGATATCCGCGCATGGCACAAATCCCGCATCCGCTCAAATGGCAGGTATGCAGGTGGAACCTATCCTCATACGAAAGGATGGTTCTGTTGATATGATGCACTTAAAAAAAAAGATCAACAAATACCAAAAAGCATTATCATGTTTGATGATCACGTATCCATCGACAAATGGAGTATTTGAAGAGACGATTAGTGATATATGCAACATGGTACACAACGCCGGTGGTCAAGTATATTTGGATGGCGCCAATATGAATGCTCAAGTTGGCTTGTGTCGACCTGGTGATTATGGCAGTGACGTGTCACATCTCAATCTACATAAAACGTTCTGCATTCCTCACGGGGGTGGCGGACCTGGTATGGGTCCTATTGGAGTGTAAGCAATTATTTAAATCTTGGAATCTTACACGTAAGATCTGTTCTTTGTGGCTGAACTAGAGTATTACACTTATGATACTTAAAATAAAATATTTGAAATTCAGAAAGTAGTAGAAAATGTAGTGCAGTCCAGTGCAGTGACAAAGAACAGTTCTATTGTTACAAGTTAAAAAAAAACTATAATTTATAGGAAGCGACATCTTATACCTTTTCTGCCGAATCACCCAGTAATAAATTGTTCGGGTAACGACCATAGTGATTTAAAGAATCTCGGTTCTGTATCCGCCGCGCCTTTCGGATCATCCGCCATTCTACCGATTTCGTGGGCTTATATCAAGATGATGGGTCCGAGAGGCTTATGCAAGGCTACGCAAGTGGCAATTCTTAATGCCAATTACATGAGCAAGAGATTGGAGAAGTATTATAAAACGTTGTACAAGGGTGAGACTGGCCTGATTGCGCACGAGTTCATCCTAGATGTAAGAGACTTCAAGAAAACTGCCAACGTTGAGGCCGTTGATATTGCGAAGAGATTGATGGATTATGGTTTCCACGCACCGACCATGAGTTGGCCGGTAGCTGGTACTTTAATGATCGAACCGACCGAATCCGAGGACAAGACTGAGTTGGACAGATTTTGTGATTCTTTAATCTGTAAGTTAAAAAACTTTGAATAATACTTAAAATATCTTAATGGCAAGTATCTTATCGTCTCATTCACGTTTGTACTTCTCGACAGCTATAAGAAAAGAGATTGCGGACATTGAAGAAGGAAAATTAGATATTGTACAGAATCCTTTAAAAATGGCACCTCACACTCAGAAGCAAGTTATAACAACCGAATGGAATCGACCATATTCGCGAGAGTTGGCAGTTTTTCCTGCTGTAAGAATTTTGTATGAACATTAAATATATATTAATTCATAATAATTACTTTATAATTTTTTAGACATTTGTGAAAGGAAGCAACAAGATTTGGCCAAGCGTTGGAAGGATAGACGACATATATGGCGATAAGAATCTATTTTGTACGTGCCCACCTATTTTGCCTACAGATAATTAACATCACAATTGTGATGTTATATTTATATACCCTATTGTACAGTTACTTAGTTATGTAATGCAGGACTATTTAAATATTTATTGTAACTTTTATACAAATATATTATTTATATAAAACATAATGTTTTTTTATCTATATGACAGTAGACGAAATATAACGAGAATCTGTCTTTAAGATTAAATTTTTAAATGAACATTATCTTTCTTTTCACGCTCGCAGATATATTTTTTTTAAATCTAATTTCTCATACTACTTCTCTATTTACATTATTATATACTTTACACATTTTGTACATTATAGACCAGGCATAAGATAAGCAATGTTGTCGAGCATTTGAGAAAGTGTTTCAGGTTTAGCTCCATTAGTTTCTGGTAATTGCTGCGTTAAACAAATTAACGGACCTAAGGCACAGAGCAATGAATCCAGTAGAACTGAAAGACTACCGGAAACAGCTATTTGACCATCGTGCTCCTTCAAACGTTCTCCGATGATTGTCAAACTTTCACCAAGCAATTTAAGATGAGCTGCAACATCAATTGGCTGTGTTCCAACGACTTTATACATTCCCGTGCCTATTATTGGCTCGTTAACTAGATCTTTATTGGAACGATTTGATGGTGGTGAGATTGAAACATTCCCAACGACAGAGGGTACGCCGAGTTGAATAGTTTTCCTTGTAGAAGCAGGCTTTGTTTCTTTCCCATTACCTGAAATACAATATATACAGAATAATTTGTTAATGCTGTATTGAATATTAAATGATACATATGTACAAGAGAGAAACTAATAACTACAAAAATCACACGATAGATATATTCGATTTCACATTTTTGGCTAATGCACATGCACATGGAGAAAAAAGTGGAAATAAACTACATAACATGACATACAAATCATACAATTGCCTATATACAAGAACCAATAAACCCACCAATTTTATTAATGAATTTTTTTCGCGAGGCGGGTGGTGGCATTTTCCAAACAGGCTCATCTTTATTTGCTGGTAAAGAATGAGGCTTTGCTGCTAAGCGCTTTGCACGTCTGCGCCAATTATATTTTTCCAGATGTGGTACTGTAGCCCACAGCTCTCCTAATCGCTTAGAAATTGCCGCAAAATCTACAAAAAGCAACAATCAATAAACAACATCGAAATTGCATGCATTTATAACTTAAGGAAAAAAATATAGCTCTGATACCCATGTAAGGAGATTGCTCTAATAGTTCTTGCCTAATTTTCTTTGCCCATAGCATATAAGCAGTAAATCTCGTTTTCTAAAAATGTCAAAAAATTAAGGTCCTTCTTTGATATTCATTCTTCAATAGTACGTACCCCTTTATCCTTGCGTTGGGATTTTGTTTTGCCTACAATTTTCCCATCCTTAATAACCAATTTTTTCTTAGATTTTTCAAGCATATATAAACTATTTGCTTGTGATGGTGTTTCCTGACCTAGTGGTGGTTCCAGCTTTCTGAATCCCATTTCTCTTTCGTCAATCAAAAGAGGATCTACTTCATCACTTCCAGAATCTATACTTTCATCCTCGTTTATTCCAGAGGGATCATCGGATTCTGAACTGGACGATTGTCCTTCATCAGACAGAGTTTCCATCTTAAGTCTTTGTTGTGTGTGAATCGAGCCAGAATTCTTTCTCTGTTGTCCAATGTTACCCACTTGAGTAGATTGCATGGGCAATATCTGCTGTTGTTGCTGTTGTACTTCATACTGATCTAAGAACTGTTGACTTTGTAGCTGCTGTGCCTTTTGTCGCTTGAGTTTATTTTCCGTAAGATCATCAGATTCGAAGTCAACGAGCTTGGAAGATTTCTTCCTCACGCGACCACTACGGGAGATACCCGTGACCTCTAGATCTGAAAGATAAAGCAGACTGCACCTTGCCAAAAAAAAAGAAAGGGTCCAATGTACTTTGCAATAGCTAACTACCAGGCTTAAACATTTATAGAGTCAGGATAGACACAGTACAGAAATACTACTTCTATACAGGCTACAATGTATCAGCTACTAAAGATGTGGACAGCCAGTCGCAGTACAACTCGCACTTCACTTTCCTTCACTTCTTTTCTTTGAGAAATCTGCATTATGTTTTTATGAAAAATAATTATTCAATTAACCACTTTCATAAATAGGAGACGACAATGAGATGTAAGCAAATTTAAGGTGAATGAAGCTCTCTCAATGATAGACATTTGTACATTCTTGATCCAATTGTTTACTTTTACCATTCATCAAGTCCATTCATCAGATATACGCAATAAATTGCAGAAACGTTTAAGCAGCATGTAAAAATGAAGTGATTGTTGATCTCTTAAAGTCATAGGACACACAGAAAGATCAGAAAGGTGATTCAGCGCGATCGAGGTTAGCTCGATCTCATGAAAATTTGTATTTGTTTTTTCACAACAATGGTTCATGTACGGCGCGCAGTTAGTACGACGATTATCCGCCATGTACGCCGAAGCGCTAGCACCTACATAAGTATAACGCAAATGAATGTTACAGAAAGAGAGTTCCGAGAGTTCTCTACGAGCGCGCGCCAGATCATGCGATGCACCGCAAGCGATATCAGCGAGCAAGCAAACATTCTGTACGATGCAGTCTCAGTAGCATGATGAAAAATCGATGCTCACCGTCGCTCTTCTGAGCGCGTGCTTTCGACGTTCCGAACACATCCATAGCGTCCTTCCGCTGCCAAGAGTGCCAAGATGCCGCCTGAATCTGAACGCGCTGAACGCGCTGAATGTGAACGCGCGCGCTGCGCCGCCGCCGTTGTAGCGTACTCTCGGATTTCGCGGTTCGCGGACTCGTCACTCCTCGCGTTCATGGCGCGGCATTCAATTCGGAGTATTGCCACTTCTCCGCGCTAATATTTTTACGGGGTTGTTGCATGGAAATATCACCATCGGCTATTTATGATTTATATCACGGCAGTCTTTTTGTAGCAAAAAGGCGTTTTGTTTATTTACACGATCTTTGCAAAAACAAATGCTCTAACAGCTCACTCAAAAGATGTGCACTCGGTACAGCGCGCAGGATTTTGAATTTTTGTGACTCACATGAAATACGAATCGCTACATGGTTGGAAAATTTGTGTTAAATTTATATAAATAGATATTCAAACGATCCGTTCAAATTTTAGAATTTATTTAATATAAGAGGAATATATTATAGGAAGCAACATAAATATTATTTAAAAAGTTAACGCAAAAACGTAACACAAACACAATTTATAAGCAACTATAATATTTATTTATTATAATTAACATTTATAATATGTTGAATTAATATGTTTCAATAAATTTAACACTTCTGATATGTTAAATTAACATATTTATCTTAGAATTTATGTTTTAAAAATATTATTTTGGTTATTTCTTTGTTTACTCATAAATTGTGTTATTTTAATAAGAAATATTTGAATAATAATTTAATACAAAAAAATATTTCAATAATACAATTACATTATATTAAATTAACACTCCATAATTTATGATATATTAAAAATTCAACACAAAATTTTAACAAGGACTTGAGTAAACCGTTTCTAATACAAATAAAATGTTTTTTACTATGTAGTTTGGAGTTTACAGATAAAGAGCGTTTTCTAGTAAAAACACTATATAATACTTACATTATATCCTTATTGCTTACCAATATTAAAGAAGGATTCATTGTATTATACTGTGTCCTTGCTAGAAAACATTCAAAATTACAATTAATTTCATCAAAATTAATTTTAATTTTGAAATATAAAATTTCTTTCGCGCATCGAAAAATGTGAAAGTTAATTACAAATTAAAGATTATTGCTAGAAGAAAAGAGATTTTATTAATATGCGAATATCGCTTTAAAGAAATCACGATATCTGTGAGTTCGAATCGCCCGATTTACTTTAAACGAGGCACTAATTACTTATATTATACCGCGGTTCATAATATGAAATGTTTTTCGCGCGCTATGAAAAACGTGAAGTTAATTTGTTTTAATAATCGAAAAAAAAGAAGGGAAACGTTTGTGGGAAATACAATATGATTTGTTTATTAAATATCAAAACAAAATAGTTGCTTATAAATATGTAATAAAATTATTATCCGCTTCATCGCGCATCTTTGTTGTCTATGATAACGAAGTGTGTCGCTACTTCCGATTAATTTGAAGTGCGCGACTAACTTCAAGCGAGACGCCAGTTTCGAGAAATTTCTAACGATTCGCGCCGTACGAAATGTTTCTCCCGCGTCGCGATCGCGAATATTATCGACAATCACGAAAGAGAGGACGAAATCTATACGGAAATCGAATTGGTTTCCGAGATCTTCGTTTGTCATGCAACTGTTAATAGGTACGTAACGAAATTATTGCCTTTTTCGTAGTCACATATTTTCTCAACCGACGATCGGAATTCGGGAGCACCGCTGCCATTTGCAATCTCAAATAACAAGATTCACTTTACGCACTGATCGGTAGTTTTTATGTTCTAATGATATGAAATTTTCCGTGAAATATGAAAATGATTAATTATCGAGCAAGAAAGAAGGAAGATGTATATGAAAAGAATAGAGAAATTATTCACACTTTCATATAATACAGTTTTCCGAGGGACGTCCTGAGACATTCCTTGGAGAAGTGTTATGCGTGTTAATACGAACCGACATTAATATGAAGCGGTTATTATTATCCAGTCATTTTATGACGACTTCTAACGTACATATTTGAATAGAAGTACATAATAACCATGATTTCTAGGATTTCTATTTTGATGGTTTTTGAACCCCAGACTTCAGGTGGAACGATCTTCAACTAATCGCTCTAAATTTTGATTTTTTTTAAAAAAGATTACAATGCATACAGATAACACCGGCTTTTCTCATTTTTCTGTATCTGATTTTTTTACAGACTGACTACAAGGCACTAACAATCCGGGAATTTCGGCAGTAATCGATCTCCTTCAGCATAATAGAATCTCTGACAATAATTAAGGCTGCCTTCAACAGAACTTTAATCGAAAGGTAATAAGCGTGATAATAATAATTATTTTACTATACTGCAGCTATTTTTACTTGTAGCATTTCCTTCCTAACTGACAATCATAAGAGATTTTTCATAAATTTTTTATGTTGCTGATAATTTGTAAATTTGAACTGAAATTTATATTTTAATAACGCTTATTCATACAATATTTATATGGAAAGTACAATTTTATATGTACATACATACATATTAATCAATTGAGCATCTGCAACGATAAAATGCCGGATACCAACTGTAGTCAAATAATATTTTCATTTATATTAAATATGATAAAGTTGTTAATACATACACAAATGTAATGCGCTTAAAATAGTTAAAATATATAAAATATAAATAATATAAATAATATATATATATATAATTTTATATAAAATATTTTTATATCATTTCTTCCAAATAATATTGAAACGGTAATTTTGGAATAGTAATGAAATAGTAAATTTTAATTATCTATATGATTTTATATATAATTCATCTATTGTCTTTTTTTACATTGTTTCAAGAAATTTCTGATATAATATTATATGTACAGTCAGGAATGTATTAATAGAGAAATGTCAATGCTGTTTTATAAAACTCATCAAAGTTAAATTGATATATGTACATAGATATACAGATATATCAGAATTAAATTAAATTATCTTCTTGTTGCCAACCATCTTCATCAGATAGAAATCTCCTTTTGTGACTTGTATTCATATAAGGTCTTAAAGCCCATTCTGTGTCAGCAGCTGATTCAGTATCCAGAGTTCCTAATTTAATCTCATATAATTTCATTTGGAAACGTGGTCCAACCTCTGTCAATTCAATATTCTTCCCCTGAGTCTTTTTGTATGTGTGATGTCGGAAACATATGTAGTCATCATGATTAGCAAAACTAATTACTCTCTTACTGTCTTCTTTTGGTACAGGAAACAGGTATTTCAGTATGTTTGTTACTCTTACTCCTAGTTTGGTTTTAAAATTATGGAAGATTAGATGTGGATACTGTTCCGACATTGTGCCAATATCAGGAATGTCATGTCGCATTACGACACCAGATAATGTAAAGTAGGCTGTTGGTCCATATGGCAGATGGCATATCACCAGTGCATCAGGAACGCCTCGATGTTCGTGCACGATGATGAAGTCTGTGACATCATTGGCACGACAAGCATGGATTAGCTGCTTCATCTCATAGTTACCACGATTCATTCGCTGAGAGTTTGGAAATATCAGACGAAGCTCCTTCACAAACATCTTCAGCCGGGAGCTTGGATCACGAGACGTCGTGATAACGATCTTTGGGTTCTCGACACCGGCCCAGCGATACTCGTCGTCCTCGTGATTGACCACGGTACCACCCATCTCTGTACCCATGGCCACTGCCATCTCTGGCCCAGCATCCTCCCATTCGATTTTCCTTTGCACGTGTAATGCGCTTTTCCTTAGATCCGGATGGATTGGTATATTCTCTTCCAAACTGTGTTTCAGTTTATCTTTCTTTTCTTGGATACCTTTCACTTTATCCTGCACGGATTTTCTGTAGAGATATTCTCGACGTAATCGTGCTTGTCTCCGCAACATTTTTGCTACTTAAGATTGTATCACGTATCGATTGTTATAAGAAAAACTTTGTGTAATATTCACTTCGAACAGCGTGTTTGACAACAGCAGCACGCTCGTTTGGAGGTTATACCATGTGCTTTACAGTGCAACTAGTTTGCAATCGCACACAGTTAAGTAGCACTTGAATATAATTGGTTGGACTTAAAAGTAAGAACCAATCGAATATAATACTTGATGCATCTGATAGGCTAGCTAAATTTGTCCAAAATTGGATACAAGAGCTGTTCATTATATTTTTTTTATATATACTATGTTAAAATTTTAATTGTTAGGAAAAAACCGCAAATATACAAATATATTTAACAGAAAGAAATAAGTTTAAAATATAAATATTTAATCCTTTTCCGATTGTATAAAACAACTATTAATAATAAATTTATAAATTAGTTTTTTATGTAGTAATTGTATAATTTTCAGTTACTCAATTATTTAAAGATTTTCTATGTAAATTTTTTGTATTTAGAGTTAGTGAGATTTAAAATTATTTTTATTGTAAATTAAATTTTTTAGATATACAAATACGTCTTTATTTTTTATTTATTATTTTTATTTTTTAATATTTCTTGTGTCTAAAAGTATATAACAGCGAAAAGTGTGTAAAAAACGATAAACTCTTTAGAATTTTAATTAAGAAGATTTCAATTAATTGGAATTTTAATTTTAATTCGTAAATTAGAATACAACAATTTGAACATTTAAAATTTAAATTTGTACTGTTTATTTCTTATTTAATATTAATATGATTGCAATATTTTATTTTGTAATTAATACCATATTATTATCTAACTTGATCATTTCTTTTCTTATTTTTAAAAGATTGTATCAATTAAGGATCAATCTCGCGCCTATTCCTATTCTAGAAAATCATTTTTTAAACATTCTTTAAATGTCTTAAATTTCTCACGGATTTTTGTGTTATTCGAACGATTGTTTTTGTGTGTATCACAACATGTACTTTGCGAGAAAATGCAATATAGCGCGACTTGAGAAATCAGTCTGCTTCCCCATGTATGGTTTACGATGTTCGATTTGGATGTGTTATTTTGTGTAACCACTTGAGTGCAGCCAATCACGCATGAAAGTAACAATGAATAGCATCGAAATAGGTGGATAGATAGCCAGACCGGTCATTTTGTCCGATGCGTCCGATCATCTGTGTATGCATGTGTGCGTGTATGTATTTCTCCGTGTGTACACACGCGTGCAGTTCACCAGAGTCCACGCCTTAGGCATCCTCTTCCGCATTTCATGTCGTCCGAAGAGGAAAAATTCCTTGGAACGTTCTATCGATTATATACACGGAGTAAAGAACATTTTGTTAAATGTTTTATAAAATATTAGAATTAAAAATTTCTTTACAGAACAATTGATAAATTAATAATACAAGCTGATACATAAAAAAGTAGATTGTTGGGATTGATTCGCTTTGAAATTTAGTTGACTGAAAATATGAGATGTGCGCTAACAAATTTGAATTTGTAAGATGTAATTAAAAATATGTTTTATTGGAAAATTTCATTGAAAAAAAAGAATATTATATTTTCTTTATGTATGCTTCTTTTTGCTATATTAAATTTCTTCTCTAAATAATTAATATATTGAATAAAATATTTAGCGTACAGTTTCATTGTCACAACGTTGACTTTTAATGACATATTACTATTCTATAACATTATTTGCAATCAATGTTAAAAAATAAAGGATTAAAATAAAAAAATTTAGAATTACACTTGATATGAAGAATGAAGTTTAATTTTTACTTTATAAATAGAGTAATCGCATTTATCTCTTATTTAATTTCAAGCAAATTTTAACCAATTTGAAATTTAATAATTAACTATGACATTTATTATTAAAAATTTGCAACAAAACTCGCATTTTCTTCAATCGTTTCGATCACTTTCGTTTAAGAATGCGAAACATCCTGAATAATATTGATATCTGACTCGTGATGAATAGAATTGTTATCATGAATTGTCTACCCGTAAAGAAACTTGAATTTGCGTTACGCGTTTTCCACAACAACGTGTATATAATGATGTCAGCGCGTTCGGGCAATGCCGGTCAGTCCGTATTATAGCAATTCAATAATAAATTGTAGAACGGCTCGGTCGCCGCATTATGCGCCGGTAATCACAGTAATAAGCAGTTCTAAAAGTAACGTAAGTACGTTGTAGGTAGTAACGAGTGGAGCGGTAATCTCGGGGGATGCCTCTTCTGCGTTTGTAGCCAGGTGAAGGAGGAGAGAAATTGAGACGAAGGGCTGAAAGTTAGGGGGAGAGGGGAAATGAAGAAGGTAAGAGGAAGAGAGGGAGGGGGAGAGAGAGAGAGAGAGAGAGAGAGAGCCCATGGGCGTCATCTTCGCCCATGTTCTTGAATCGGCATAATTTACAGCCTCGTTCACGCAAATTAAGCGCGTTTATGTAAGAGAGGCGATATAAAGCACGATCGACATGACGACGATCATTAGAAACCGGACTCAGCTCTGCCGGCACTTTTCCTTCCGATAAAGGAAGTGTTTTGCCACCAATGACTATATAGTGACAATTTTTGATCGTTTCCAGACAATGATTTTATTTTTTTTCTTTTATACAGCATTTGAATGTTCGAAAACGATTGTGTAGTAAGGAAGGAATTGTTGAGCATAAATGTTTCATAAATTTGTGAATTTACCTATGTTTAGAAATAACTTTGCGCATAGTGTACATATTAACAGATATATACGTGATGCACCCGTGATTTACAGGAAAGATAATAATAAGTATTACTTTTCTGAAAAACAAAAATTCTTTGTTGGGTTTAAAAATAATTTTGTCAGACCATCAAAATAATTTTGTACACAAATTGATCGTTGGAATATCAACAGTTTTTCGTAGCTCATCTTTTTTTTTTATATAGTTTCCAACATAATTATTTTGATGGTTCAACAAAATTTTAATTTTTCAGATCTGTATCCAGTAAAATTTTTATTCTTCCAACAAAATCATTCTTTCAATGTACAATGTATTTTTTAAATTTCTTTTTACATGCACATTATTAAAGCATAGCTAGCAAAGTAACAAGTCACACAATTGCCTTATTTTAATCGCTTAAAATTTAACGTTATCGTGAATCAGATCTCATTTCGTCGCGGCTTCTAACGCGATCGAAATTCTTATTTTGTCAAAATATTGAAATATTTTTTGTTTACTTGTAAATATAAAGTTAAAGAGAAAGATACATATATACGATTATACATTAGAAGTTGACGATCCGCGTATACGTACGCCTATGAGATGGGTATGCGGGGACTATGCTATACGTACCCGTTAAGCCAACATCTAATTCGATAACTGGCGAAAATAATAACGTAGCGATCTGTTGCGTTCGC